CTCATCGATCCTTGATTCCACCCACTTCCCCACCCAGCACGAGACACGAGGATCACCAGGAGCGTGGTCTGGAGTAGGCTATGAGACGGGAGGGGGGAGCAGAAGTAGGGGAAGAAGGAGCCAGGGACCAAGAGTGGGAGAAGGGGAGGGCACCAGACATAGGGCTGGGAAGAGTCCAGACTCGGGGCAGCAGACGGGAGGGGGGAGCAGAAGTAGGGGAAGAAGGAGCCAGGGACCAAGAGTGGGAGAAGGGGAGGGCACCAGACATAGGGCTGGGAAGAGTCCAGACTCGGGGCAGCCCCAGGAACCCCCTATTGCTCCCCAGGATCATCCCTTCCCAACTCCACAGATTTCCTGCCCCCCCCCCACACGCTGTCTGATCTCCCCTCCCCACACAACCGTGTCCTTCTCCCAGCCCCTCCCCCACCCCTCCTGCCATCGTTCCTGGTGGGGGTTGGGAGGAGCCAGCTGTTTCCGGCCCTGCCTGGAGCCCAAAGCAGGAAGGAGCTGCCTTCCTGCTGCTCCTGGGGCTGGACAATGGGAGGAAATGGGGGTGGGGGCGGCTGAGAGTTGGGCCGCCTGTGATTCACTCTGGCTAATGAGAAAGGAGCCTTTGTCAGATCTGGGGTGAGAACCCAGGAGTCCAGGCTCTGAGACTCCCTCCCTGCTCTAACCACTAGTCCCCAGGCCCCTCCCAGAGCCATGGAGAGAACCCAGGCATCCTGGTCCCCAGCCACGCACCTCTCTCCATGAGCGTGTTGAAGAGGGAGGCGTTGGAGAAGAAAAAGAGGTAGCCAAACGTCTGGGATACCAGATCGGGGTGTAGCTCACACTCCCGGGTCAACTCCAGTGTGGCCTGGTAGATGGCCAGGGTGCCACGGATGCCCTCGGGCATGCTGCTCAGCTCCTGGGCGTGAGACAGGTCCGCTGTGGCAGTGAAGGGGTTACTGTCCAGCAGGGCTGGCAGGGCAGAGTACAGCGTCTGTGCAGGAAGGAAAGGGTTAAACACAGGGCAGGGGCTACACAAAGCCAACAGGACACTAGGGGGCGCTGTGCTGTAGGGTGCAGTGCCAGCAGGGGGCGCTCTCCTCTGGCAGGCGGGATGGGCCCCAATACCCCAGGGTGGCCCTAGGGGGTGCTGTGTTGCAGGCGACCCAGCAGGGGGCGCTGAGCTCACCTTGGTCAGGTAATACACCGACTGCTGGAACGTCGACATGATGACCTCATCCAGCACCACCATGGCCTCATCGCAGGTTTCCAGGTCGCTGGACAGCAAAGCATCATGGGAACTTCCTGGAGAGGACAAAGGGGGCCGGCCGTGGGGCTCTGTGAGCCTTGCCCCCACTGGGGAGAGACCCAAGTGTCCAGGCTCCTAGGCCCACCCCCCAGCTCTAACCACTAGCCTCCACTTCCTTCCCAGAGCTGGGGTGAGAACCCAGGCCTCTCACTTACCCTCCAGGTCGAGTTCTTTCTCCATGTCCAGCACTTTCTTCTGGACCAAGTTGAGCAGCTCCATGGCGTTGGCCATCCAGAGCATCAGAGGGCGCAAGTCAGCTGCCACCTCTTCTATGCTGAGCGCCCCCACCTGGCCCTTGTCCTGCTGGCTGGAAGGCAGAGAGGGGCCGGGGGAGCGGCTGGGGGGTTGTACTTACCCTCCAGGTCGAGTTCTTTCTCCATGTCCAGCACTTTCTTCTGGACCAAGTTGAGCAGCTCCATGGCGTTGGCCATCCAGAGCATCAGAGGGCGCAAGTCAGCTGCCACCTCTTCTATGCTGAGCGCCCCCACCTGGCCCTTGTCCTGCTGGCTGGAAGGCAGAGAGGGGCCGGGGGAGCGGCTGGGGGGTTGT